CCTTGCCCTTCAGTTCTCTAAAGAGGTCTGTGCTGCAGACTTAACAACGCAATCCGTCTTTTGATCTCTTGGCTGCTGCTTCCATGAGCACTGACTGTGGATCCAAGCAAGACAAAATCCTGGACAATTTCAACCTTTTCTCTATTTATCATGATGCTACCTGTTCGTCCAGTTGTGAGAATTTTGGTGTTCTTAACATTGAGTTGTAATCCACACTGAAGGCTGCAATCCTTAATCTTCATCAAGGTCGTGTCATCTACATATCAGAGTGTTAATAAGCCTTTCCCCAATCCTGATGCTGCATTCTTCTTCATATAATCCATCCTCTGGGGGTGGGACCATGCAAAAAAGGTACATGGAGCCCTAGTGTGGGGATTGGTTAGCTTTGCCATCTGCTAGACTTAAAACGATTCAGTCCACAGGTGGGAAGGGGATCTCACAAGCACTTCGAAAGAACAGCCAAGAGTAGAGTGTGTCCTTTGAGTCTGAGATCCCTGCCATGAGAACCTCCTTCATCCAGGAGATGCCAGAGCCGGTGAGAAACAGCAGCAGAGGCCGCAGGACCAGGAGACTGGCAGGAGACAGAGTTGTGGACTTCCTGACACAGAGTGAGAGTTGAGGGCCTGTGGGCAGAAGGCTTCCTGGCTAAATGGGGTGCTTCTAGGCACTTGGTGGAGCTTAGTGATGTGGAGCTAGAGCTCAGGCCCTTCAGGCCGAGGCTTACTGGTACCGTGAGATACCGCTGGACACTTACTGGCAGAGGAAAGCGGTTGTTTAACACTTACTCCTTCAGGGCAAAGGCCAGAGCGAAGCATGCCTGTGGACACTGCTGAGATATCCTGACTGAAGAATTTTATGCTGAGTCATTTCTGATCCTGAATTGTAGCCTGTTACTTCCCTAAAAAACCCCATAATCCTAAGTACTGTCCGAGTTCTGTGTGGCCATTGCAATGAACGATGGAGCCCAGCACAGAGAGAGTGCCACAGATGTGGTCGGTGTCACATGGGTCTGACATTCAGCTCCTTGGAATCAGCCTTGGGATGGGGATCTTGATTCTCTTTCCCCCTCGAGAAGTTAGACACCCACCATGTCATTTTCCCGCATGTCATCCATTCTGACTGGAGAAAGATCCCGTAGAGTCACAGCCCCAGAAAGTCACAGGAGCAGTTCGACTCTGGGCGTACGGGGCTGCTATGAATCAGAAGGCACTCGACGGCGGTGAGCTGGGTTTTCAGTCGGCTTCAGTTCTCCAAGATCCAGAGAGCAGGCTGTTGTCTCTGGTCTTCATCAGTGCGTCTTCAAGTCCTCTTCACTGTCGCAAACGCGTTTCTGTCATTTGTATATCACAGTTTGCTAATGAACCTTCTCCAGTCCCGATGCCACACTCTTCCTTACATGGCTCAATTTCTCAGACTGTTTACTCAGAATACAAAATGAAAGCTTGGTGAAAGGATACAAGGCTGGTGCGCACACCTTTCCTGATGTGAAACCATGGAGGAGCCCCTGGTTTTGCTGGGACGGTTGCCTCGGTTCCCTGTGAGCACAATTAAGTTCTGGAATTCCCATTCTCTGCAATGTTATCCATAGTTTGTTATGATCCACAGTAGAATGCCTTTGCAGATAAACAAACAAAATACACACAGGCAGACATCTTCCAGGGAATTCTCTGCTTTTGTCGAAGCCCCATGTGACATCGGCACTGATATCCCTGTTCTATGTCCTCCTCGGATTTCACGGTGAATTTCTAGCAGTTCCCTTTAGATGTATTGCTGTAACCATTTTCTCCCCCAATGATTTCCAGCAAAATTTTGTGGAAATTTCTACATTCTGTTGAATCCCCTTTCTTTGGAATGGGCACAAACATGGCTCTTCTGTGTGGCTGTTCCCTCCCCGCCCCCATACACACACTTTTTTTTTTTAACCTAGATGAGTGCCTACTTCCAGAATTACATCCACTTGTTAAAATTTCTCAATTGGTATTCTGTCAACTTTGGGAACTTTGTTTTTTCCAATGCCTCAGTGCATTTGAACTTCTTCCTTCAGTGTCATTGGTTCTTTATCATATGTTACCTCCTCAAATGTGTGAGCACTGACTGATTCTTTTTGGTAGAATAATTGTGTATCCCCTCATCGGCTTACAGTGCTCCTGGTAATGTTCCACATTTTGAACCAGTCAGCAGAGGTAGCAGGTCCTCAACACTGCTGCGGACCTTCACTGTCTTCACGGACTAGTTCTCGGCAAGCTCCTTAATCCAGAGAGAAGAGCCAGCCTAACCACTGTTTGCAGGCGGACAGAATTTCACAGGATTTCTGAGCTTGCACAGACTTTGACTTATGACCATGTTTCCTACTGGTGATGCTTGGTGTCTGCAGTTGTCTTTGTCCACACTGTTGATGCGCTCATGCAGGGCTGTCCCTGGGTGCCACCGAGTCAGCTCCCACTCATGGCGACCCGATGTGCCCAGAATGAGACACCGAGAGGCCCTGCAATGTTCCAGTTCGTGGCTGCAGCCGCTGTGGTGGACCGTCTTGTCGAGGGCCTTCCTCGTTTGCGCTGTCCCGCTACTTTACCAAGCACGACAGCCCCTTCCAGAGACTGGTCTCTCCTGACAAAGCAATGTCTCTCCGTCTTCGTTTCTAAGGAGCATTTCTTCCAAGACAGATTTATTTGTCTTTTTGGCAGCCTGTGGTACTCACAATATTCTTTGCCAGCACCGTAATTCAAATGCATCAATTCTTCTTTGGTCTTCCATATATACAATGTCTAACTTGCACGTGCATGTGAGGCGATTGAAAATACCATGGCTTGGGTCAGGCGCACCTTAGGCTTCATGGCACATCCTGGCTTTTTGACTTTACAGAGGTCTGGTGCAGTACTTGGTCTGATCTCGTGACTGCTGCTTCCATGAGTGTTGTTCCATGATTGTGGATCCCAGCAAGATGGAAACCATGACAGTTCTTGGCAGCCTCACGCTGGATTTCTGCATCAATGTCCTGGGTTGCTGCCAGGTCGGACATGACACAGAACTCCCAGGCATCAAGCCAGCTCTCACTATTTGTGTGAGAAGTCCTGCCGCCCCACAGGTTTGCCCGAGGTGGTGACGTGCTTTGGGATGTTTGCCCATCTGATAGATGGAAAATGGCATCTCTGTATTCCTTCTATCTGTGTTTCTCTTACAGTGAGGGAGGTGCAGCATCCTTTTGGATGAGAGACTTCCTGTGTCTCCATTTCCTGCCCTCTAGAGTGCTTCCTCCTGGTCTTTGGCTCTGCCCTATAGCAGACTGCTGGCTGCTTTGTGTGTGTTTGTGTTAACATTTTACAGTGAGTTGGGTGAAGGGTTACAGAGCAGGACATCACGTTTATATTCAACAATTCATACACATTTTGTTCCATTTTTTGCAATCCCCACAATGTAACATCTCTCACTCCATGTCCTCCCTGGGTTGCCTGTTCCTATTCCTCCTTTCTGAACCCTCTGAACATCATCCTATGGTCCACACTACCCTTCTGATCTCAAAGGGGTTATTCTCAGGTGGGCCTCCCTCCATAGTGTTACTGCTCCCTTATAAACCTATTGTTTGGCTGAGTCACGGGGTGAGTTCAGTTCTACCTGATGGGTGACTTAGGGCCATAGAGTTGGGGTTTCCACCCATCTCTATCTGGTGTAGCCTGGTCTCTTTTGCAATTTTAGGACCTTTCACCATGATTCCTTCCTGAGCACTTGGTAGAGGTGGCCATGTACCAGCTAATTCTGTCTCAGGGCCACAAAGCCTGGGATTCTAGTGATGCACGAATCCTCTGGATTCCTTGTTTCCATGAACCTGTGATTTTCCTCACTCACCTTTGCTCCAGAGGAGGAGAGACCAATCATTGTTTTTATGACCCCAGTTTCCACTCACCAGAGCAAGGTATTGAACACTCTCTCTGCGGACTTGTAGTGTCCCCTGAGCCTCTGGTCCTTAGTCCTCAGCCCCAGTGACTCATGCCCTCAAGGCATCTGGTTATGGCTATTTCCATAGCTTTTCCCGGTACAGTCCACCACATTTACGGGTGTACTTGCGGCAAGGGTAAATACACACATACAAATACCCTCCGTATACGTATATACACACATACAACATAGACAGGGGCATACTCCCACTCTCCCTCCCACACGGGTTCAGCCATGTGTGTCTACCCAGACAGCTATGTGCAGGTCACCACTGTTGTCTGTAGAACAGTATTGACCTCTGAGGCCAAGAACTCTTCCATTCCTCTCAGTGGCTTCTGCCTCCATACCTGTTTTGTCAACCTCCCTTTTATTGTATTTATTGTCTTCTTGTCTCCCCTTCACCCAAGTTAACTCCTGTCTGCCCTCTAGCCAGTAGCTTACCACCCCCCCCCCACCAGAAACCATCAAATAAGATTTCGTTTCATGTGAAAATCTCTTAACTTTTTTTACTAGTTATTGTTAGGGGCTGTCAAGTTGGTTCATAGTCACCCTATGTCCAACAGAATGAAGTACTGACAGTGCTGGGCCATCTTCACACGGTTCTTATGCCGCAGCCCATGGCTGCAGCCTCTGTGGCCGTCCATTACCTCGAGGGCGATGGTAGTTGCACAACTTTGTGTCAACTTGAAGATATAAAAGTGTAGAAGTGGAGTCTAGCCTGTCAATCAGGTCACAGCCTGGTGGTGCCTCTTTGTGGGTGTGAGCTCCCCTTAAGGAGGGTCCTGGGACCCTCTCCTCTCTGCCTTCACCTTCATGCCTGTGAGCCACGCTGAGACCCACACAAGCCCTGTGATGCAGTCACCACCATTGGGGCCATGCAACCCTGTACCCACTGATCTGTGATCTTCCTGCATTCTACATCATTGCATGTGGCTGCATGAGTCTGAAGAGGGATTTATGAACTAGTATCGGACTTATGGACTTGATCTGGACTGGGATGCTTGCTTGATATAAAAGTACTTCTTAGAGATTCGACAAGCTCTCACGAGACTTTGGCTTCTTCCTAGGCTGGCAAGAACACCCAAGTTCAGTTCAAGCACAAAGATCGTGAAGCCCAATGGTGAAAAGCCGGATGAATTCGAGTCCGGCATTTCTCAGGCTCTTCTTGAGCTGGAGATGAACTCAGACCTCAAGGCTCAGTTAAGGGAGATGGATATAACGGCAGCCAAGGAAATAAAAATTGGTGGTGGTCGGAAAGCTATTATAATCTTTGTTCCTGTTCCTCAACTGAAATCTTTCCAGAAAATTCAAGTCTGGCTAGTACGGGAACTGGAGACAAAATTCAGCGGAAAGCACGTTGTCTTTATTGCTCAGAGGAGAATTCTGCCTAAACCAACTTGGAAAAGCCGTACAAAGAATAAGCAAAAGCGTCCCACGAGCCGCCCTCTGACAGCGGTGCACAATGCCATCCTTGAAGACGTGCTCTTCCCAAGTGAAACTGTGGGCAAGAGAATCCGGGTCACGCTGGACGGCAGCAGGCTTATAAAGGTTCATTTAGACAGAGCACAGCAGAACAATGTAGAAAACAAGGTTGAACACTTTTCTGGAGTTTATAAGAAGCTTACGGGCAAGGATGTTAATTTTGAATTCCCAGTTTCAAATGTAAACAAAGATGACAGAATAAAATATTATTCCCAATAAAAATAAATAAATAAATAAATAAATAAATAAACTTACTTCTTGATAGAAAGCTCTCTCTTACAAATACGTGAGCGTCACCAGATGTTTCTCCAGCCAACCCAGCCTAACACAGGGCCTTCCTTTTTCACTGTCCTTTCACTTTACCAGCTATGACATCCTTCTCCAGGGACTGGTCTCTCCTGAAAACATGTCGAGAGTACGTGAGATGAAGCCTTGCCATCCTTGCTTCTAAGGAGCACTCTGGCCAGACTTCCTCCTAGACGGATCTGTTTGTTTGGCCGTCCATGGAACTTTAAATATTCTTCACCAACACCATAGTTCAAATGCATGTTTCCCCCAATCTTCTTTATTCAATGTCAAACTTTTTTTTTTTTTTTCAATGTCAAACTTTTACATGCATACGAAGCAATTGAAAATATCGTGACCTGGGTCAGGTGCACCTTAGTCCTCAAAGTAACATCTTTGCTTTTCAACACTTTACAGAGGTCTTGTGTAGCAGATTGGCCCCATGCAATGAATTGTTTGAGCTCTTGACTGCTGCTTCCATGATCATTGATCGTCAATCCGAGCAAGATGAGATCCTTGACAATAGCAGTCCCATATAATATTTGTCCCTTTGTGACTAGCTCAGCACAATGCCTTCCAGGCTCATCTTTCATGTGGTCTGAGGTCTTGCACAGATTTGCTATTACCCTTTAAAGTTGCAATGAAATTCCACTGTGTACATACACTGTTGTTAGTCGTTGGTATGTGCTGTTGTTAGTTTTTGGTATGCATTGATGCTAGTTATTGGTATGCTCTGTAGTTAGTTGCTATTGGCATGTACTATTGATAGTTGTTGGCATGTACTGTAGTTAGTGGTTGGTGTGCATTCATGTTCTCTGTTGGTATGCACTGTTGTTAGGTGATGGCATGCTCTGTTGTTAGTTGTTGGCATGCATTGTGGTTAGTTGCTGCTGGCATGCAGTGAGTGGTTGGTACGCACTGCAGTTAGTGGTTAGTATGCACTGTAGTTAAGTGTTGGCATGCACTGTGGTTAATTGCTGTTGGTATGCACTGTTGTTAGTTATTGGTATGCACTGCGGTTTGTGGTTGGTGTGCATTTTGCAGTTAGTTCTTGTTGCCAAGCACTGTTAGTGGTTGGTATGCACTATTGTTAGTTGTTAGTATGCACTGTTGATAGTTGTTGGTATGTACTATAGTTAGCTGCTATTGGTATGCACTGTTGTTAGTTGCTATCCAACTGATCCCAATTGTGCAACCTATGTATGCAGAGCAGAGCTGCCCATAAGGTTTCCAAGGGAGGGAGGGACCTTTCGGAAGCAGATTGCCAGGTCTGTTGATTCATCCTTCCAGCGATGGGCTCTCCGGCTGTTTCTAGCTTTGTGCGGTTATCAAGAGTCCTGTAATGTGCGCCTCTCTCTGTTTCTCTAGGGTGTACACCAAACAGGGAATTGCTGGGCCATATGGTATTTCCATCCCAGCTTTGGGAGGAAGCAACATATTCCTTTCCACAGTGCCGTGAGCTGCTTTTGATGCACTGCTACTGTACGTCAGCAAGGCGAGTCCTTTGATGACTGGGCAGCTTGGATTCTGCCCAGGTTGCTGATTACCTCTTGACTTTGCTCCGGCAAGCATTCTGCCTCAGTAGGCCTGTTCCGGTCATCAGAGAACATCCTTTTTTCCCCTTGATGGCTTCTGAACTCGGAGGTTGTTTACAAGTCCCTACTCTACAGCTCTAGTGGATTTCGACCAAGGTTTCTTCTAGTAGGTTTATGGTTCATTTTTTCACTCTCAAACCTCTGGCTCACTGGGCTTTATCCTGGTGTTCCTCAAAAGATCTGCCTACAACTTTCTTTTATGTTTTTTTAAAACTCTTTGTCAATTCTCTCTTCCCACCCCTGCCTTGGCTTGAGAGCTTCTTGACCACGCATCAAGTTCTGTTGTTCACGGACCAGGCAGCTTTAATAAGTGAAGCTTTGCAATGTGACCAACAAGGTGCTGAGACTGGAGACATCAGGCTACTTTTGCTCAACTCATTTTCTTTATGAACTTCAGATGGTTTGCTGGGTTAAAAAAGCCACCTTTTAGCATATGTATGTATATATTTGTGATTGCATTAAATTCATGCACTACTCTAGGGAGACAGCCCCCATGCTGCTAAGTGTACCCATTCAAAGCTCTGGCTTCTCCGTCTTCCAGGATGGTTCCAGACTTTTCCTCCAGGAGGTTTTGCTCTGTTCTTGTTCTGTTCCCCACCCATCAGCCAGCCTTTCCTGACCTCCTTTCTTCTCATGGCTGGGTTTCCATAGAAAAGGCCCGTTTCGGAACCTTGAGTTTGCATTCCCCTCGTCCTGAATTCCCACAGGACTGGCTCTGGTTGGTTCTCAGGCTGCCCATTTCATGGGGTGTCGTCATCACCCCCTCCCACTCAGCTCACCTCTGCCTATCTTCTGCTCTGCCTGGGTCGACCCAGGTAGCTTCTGCACCCTTCTCCCTCCTTCATGTGCTGTCACTCACTGAACTCACTGCCATCCGGTCTGTTCTGACCCACAGTGACCTCATAGGACAGAGCAGGTCTGCCCTTGTGGGTTTCTGAGGCTGTCAGTCTTTATGGGAACAGAAAGCTTCCTCTTTCTTCCACAGAACAACTGGTGGGTTTGAACTGCTGACTTGAGGTTGGCAGCCCCAGTACCCTCCCGTGACACCAGGGCTCTCCATCTTGACAGGTGAGCAGATTGGGGCTCAGGACCTGAGAGGGGAGGTTCCCTGCCCTGCCAAACTTGCAACATCCCCTGAGGTATGGCCACCACCCCTGGCCACCTCTCCCCCTATCCTGAGGGTCTCTGCCTTTCAGAAGCCCCCTGGGTCACAGTCAGTGGTGGCACCTCTCCCAGGGCTTAGGACAGTGGAGGGAGGAAGCAGGTGCTAACATCATTGTCTTGACAGGGGTCTGACACCAGGGATGGTAGGCTGACTCTGTCCCTCACACCAGAAACGGGGGCATCAGCAGAGATACACCTGGGCCTTTGTCAACTCTGTCCAGGCCAGTTCATGTTCAAAGTCCTCCTCTGCTGCCTGATGGGGCCTCCACATAGCTCTCCTGTCCTGGCCTTGCCCCACCAGGCTGCTACCCACCACAGCACACATGACCACTGCGTCCTCCTCACCCTCTTCTTCCTCCTGGGAGCCATCACCACCACTACCTGGTGTGTCCACACCTGTCCTGAGAGTCTGTCCCTATCATGTGGTGCCCTCTCTGCTGCCTTTTGGGCACCTTGGGCCCAGGAGACCAAACGAGGGCCCGTGTGGCTGGTTCTGGGGCCCTCCTCCTCCTTGCCCCTCAACACAGGCTGACACCCACAAGCCACCCAATGGACTCCAGGAGGCCTCTCTGCATAGTCGGTTCCCAGAGTGCCCACTGGGTGTAGGGAGTGGGTGGGCTTACCCAGTCCTGAGTCTGCAGGCCTTGCTGGGTGCTGCTCTGCATGCCAGGGGGGCTCCAGGCTGCCATAGGCCCACCCTGGGGGGAAGGCTGTCTGTGCTGCGGTGGGCTCAGGGTTTCTGGCTCTCTCCGCAAGGAGCCCTTCTGTATGTGCTTTCTGCTGTCCATCTTCAGCCCTGGCAGGCTACTGGTCTGCACCTCCGGGGCTCTGGAGGAAAGACATGGGCTGGCGGAGCAGGTCCCAGATGTGGCCAGGAGTCTGGAGGCCACTCTCTCTACAGAGGCCCAATCCACTGTGATGCAGCCCCCTGACCACTAGGGCATGGCTGCCGCCCCACCCCCCAGGGAGACCTCCAGCCCCACAGCCTTCTGTCCTCCTAGTTCCAACGGCCACTCAACCTCTGTTTATGCATTGGCCCTCGGTCGAAATTTATCCAGTGTAAGGCTGGACACCTTTGGGTGGGTTGCCCAGGGCCCTGCCTTGGCGAGATGCAGCAGGTTCGGGAAGGCAGGAGGAATGAGTGAGGGCCAGCTGGGGGCTGGGATTCGGCGGGCCCTGGCCCTTCAGCCCCTACAGTTATGACGCTCACCTGTGTCCCGCCCAGGCCACACCCCAAGGCGGGGCTCCGGACCGCAGCAGGAGTAGAGGCTGTACTGGACGCTGCCGCACCTCCGCAGGGAGTCCGCCCTGCCTGGCTGGGGTCCGCTGCGGGGCCCCTTGGGGAGCAGGGGCTCACCAGGGTGCCCCCAGAGTGCCCCGCAGGGACAGAAGGGGCATAGGGTGGAGGACCAGAAATGGGACCGTCGCAGGTTGGAGGGTATTCGGGGTCAGGGGTAGCGGGCCGCTGCGGGTCGTCAGGGGTGGAGGGCCGCTGCCGGTCAGGGGACTCGGGAGGGGGTGGGGATTCACTGAGGGTTGGGACAATCTTCAGGAGGATGTGGGGATCCAATTCACCATGGGAGAGCCAGTTAGAGGAACCGGGGACCCCTGCCGTTTTGGAGAGGTCAGTGGGGATAGGTTGGAGGTCCGCTATGGCCCGGGGGGGCCGGGGGGTGGAATGGGGCTCCACCGCGGCTTCGGGGAGGGGTCAGTGGGGTAGGGATGGGGAGTCCACTTGGGACTGTGGGGTGGGTGGTGGAAAGTCCACAACGGTATGGGCGGGCCCCGCCCCTCCCTCCAACTTCCGGCCCACTCCGCGCCTGCGCGCTGGTTCCCCGCCCGCCCCCTTGTCTCTGCCCCATTGTCTCGTCCCCTACACTGCTAGGCGGCGGCACAGGAACCACACAGCAGCCGGGCAAGGGTCCTGGGGGTGACCCCCCCAGGTTTATTAGTGTCTGCGTCAGCACCTTAAAATAGTCCACATGGTCACAGACGAGACAGATTTGTCTGCTCCCCAAACGGTTATTTACATTAATCCTGTTTTCCATTAAAAAAGCAAAAAAGAAAAACTAGCAACACGTACAACTAGAAACCCAACAGCGCACGCTGGGCAGGGCGGGACGGGGAGCAGGAGCTGCATGGGCAAAGCCAGGCTGCCCTCCTGGCCAGCCACTGGGCGCTGCCCACGGCCCACTGCCCACCGCGCGGGCCCGCCCGCCTGCAGCCCCCGCCCCTACACGCACCCGGCTCAGTCATCACAGGCGGATTTGGTTCAACGTCAGCTTTCTTTAGGGAAAAAGTGCGTTCGGTGTCTCCTCAGAATAGCTCCATGAGGTAGGCGGGGGAAGTGCTACCACCCCCTTTTTGACAGGTGGGAAACCGAGGCACAGAGGGGTGAGTCTGAGGCCTTCGAGCCTGTCTGCACACCCTTCTCCCCACTCCCAGCACAAAGCGTGGTGCGCCAGCAGGGAGGGAGGGCATGCGGAAGGGAGCCCCAAGGGTGGGACAAAGGGGTACCCTGCCTCTCCTGTTCCCAGAGCATGACCTGGGGGCAGTCACCGATGGAGCAGTAAATGGAGTCCATGAAGTTAAGGGGTCCAGAGACAGCGAGTCCCATGCCACCCCACACCCTCCCCAGCTGTTCCCTGAGGAGTCAGGTTATGTTTCAGCCAGGTAGAGCTCTTGTTGGGAAGGTCCCGTGGCCACAGGTGCTGAGGTCTGGCCTACCAACATGGATGCCATGCTCAGTCCCTAGGTGGCCGCCAGCTGGGCCTGCTACTCCAGAGCTCCGCCTACTGTGCCTCAAACACTTGGAGCAGGCAGGTGAGGAGGGGTCTCAGGCGAGGAGGCTTCTCTCCACGGGGGTGGGGTGGGTGCTGGCTGAGGGGTTGGCACTGTTTCCTGGCACTCCTATCATGGCTGTGCATCTTAGCAAGCCAGCTGAGCCTGCCACATTCCAGGGGACCAGGGGCAGGGTAGGCAAGTGGAGGGCTGCCCCAGAAGGCTGGCACGTCCAGTCAGACCAGCCCAAGTCTGCACAGATCATGTGATTCTTCTGCATTGAGACACATACCTGGCACCTGGCACCAGCCCCACGTTAACCATATTCCTAATTCTCAGTGCAGACGCCTGGGCAGTCCTGTGCACACAGCTGGCATAGGGGGTGGCAGGGGGTGGTGGGAAGAGCCAGCAGAGAGGGAGCAAGCCCCAGGTGACCACAGAGTGGCACCTGGGACACTGGTGGGGGTTACAGAGGCCTTGTCCACGGACCGAGGCCCTGTGGCTGCTGAATCAGGCCCTGGGTGGGCGTGCCAGGACAGCAGTGTTTCTCCAGAGCAGTTCAGCGTGCAGGGAGATCTTGAGGGGTCCCGTGGAAGGAAGCGGGGTACAGGAGAAGGGACATCTTGCTGGTTCCACCCTCTCCCTGGCTGCTGGGTTTCAGAAGAGCAACCTCTGTTTGGCAGCTACATTGTAACATGTGTTTAAAAGCATTAAAAATACCTGCAACTACAAAACCCACTGCCTCACTGGGTTGGAGTTTACTGGGGTTCGCGGGTGGGTGGCCCTTGGGGGTGGTCTGGATAAAAGGGGAGCAGGTGGGCGGGCTACAGGGCTAGGTGTGACGGCCTTGCTACTCTATCTCAGCTTTCACCCGGCTCAGGACACGCCATTCCCTAGCTGTGACCCTCAGCTTTTGGCTACCAAAGGCTGGGGCCCTGTGCAGGCCCTCACCTGGGCAGGCAGGCAGCTGCCCTCCTGCATTCTGGCTACCTGAGAAAGCAGAGGCATGTTTCGTGAAGAATGCAAACACAGGAACCCTTTCTGTGTGGGGGGCCTTGGCAGGAGCTCCAGACAACCAAAGCCACCCCACCTGGCTTGCCAAGCTCAACAGTGTCCTCTCACACCTCCAGCCCTCCCCCCTCCCCCAGCCCCGAACATTCTGGTTAATAAGCAGAGTAGTACTCAGCTCCCCGGGCGTGGGGCTGTTAGTCTCCACAGTGCGAGTGCATTTGGCTGAAGCCCCTCTGTTTAAGCGCCATCTCTGTGGGAACCGCAGCCTTAACAGGTGCAGGACGCCCAGTGGTGGCCTGGCCAGGCAGGGTGTGATCTCTGGTGGCTTCCACGGCTCCATCCTCAGGGCCGCTGGAGCTAGAAGGCAGGCTTGGAGTGTCCAAAGATGCAGATGGGGAAGTGCTTGACGTGGGATGACCACTGGGCTGCCAGCTGGAAGAACTTGACATCATTCCACTCCACCCCGTCGATGAGGACTGTGGACAGAGCAGGCCACCTGAGCCATGGGCTGGGCGGCTGGCCACCCTGGCAGCGCTGGGCCCCCAGGGCCAGGGCCCATCCACCCGCCTGCTGCCCTCCCTGCATCCACACCCACGACGGGCAGCCTCGCTGCTCTAGGGACCGCTCTGGGACCGATGGCTGAGGAGGAAGGCTGGTGACCCTTCCAAGGCAACCCATTGCCTTCTAGAAGCGCAGTGTGAAATTTACAAGTCCATGTTTTGAAAAGGCAAAGGAGTGGAGAAATTCTCAGAATTTTAAAAGTGAGTACTTTATAATAAAAATGTGTATAAAGCTACATGGACTACCTTGCATAGGGAAGTGTTCATTTTCTTCTGGCTAATTAAGAAAAATGCCATCTCATTGTTTGTTCTGATCCAATTTTCCCCTTTGGTCCACAGCGTCAAAGGACTTTCTGTTCTGGTGCTCGGTGGCCATCCCTTTCTTACTGACCATCACCCGCCTTCAGCCCCACCCCTTTTCCTTGGCCCCACCCCTCACCTTCTGGCCCCATCCTCCAGGTCCCGCCTCTCCCTTTGGCCCCACCCTTCCAGGGCACCTCTCCCCGGGCCCCGCCCCGGCGGACCCCGCCCTCACCGCGCAGCATGTTCTGCTGGTGCTTGGCGGTGCAGATCAGGCGGCTGATGCCCTCGATGCACTGGCTCTTGGACTCCACGTCCTTGTCCTTGGTTTTCTTGGGCAGGAACATCACTGGAAGGAAGGGGCCAGGCTGTGTCCGATCGTCCGCAGGGCAGCTCGCCAGCGGACACCACCGCCCCCCCTGCCCGTGGGCTGGCAGCCCCGCCCCTCCTCACCCTTTTTGTTCTTCTCCTTGGTGACTACAGTCATGGACATGGTGGGTGTGGCTGTGGCCTCGCTGCCACCAGGCAGCCTGCTGACCTGGAGGGACCGGAAAGTGCACTTGAGCGTGTTTTTGGCGGTGGGCAGGTCCCTCTTCTCGGCGTCTCGCTTCCTCTCGGCCGCCGGCGCTGTGGTCCAGTAATCCACCTGCAATCCCATCAGCTCCGCGCCGACGCCCTGGCTGCAGAAGGGGGGGCTGTTTCACACCCATCTGTGTGGCCGGCAAGGTGCCTACAGAGGGGCTGTCACCACCTGACAGTCACTCCTGCCTGCTGTCTCCGTCCCTGTGGTGCTGGCCAGTAGCCACAAGGCCCTTGATTATGCACCTGTGTCCCACATAAGCCAGGCCTCTGCGGTGGCCCAGGTGTGGGTGCAGGGCCATCAGGAGGGGAAGATCTCTCCCTGAACCCCACATCCCGGCAGTGACTCCTGCTCACCAGGCCCCACCCAGCATCACAAACTACTTCCCAACCAGAACAGCACTTGAGGAGTGGGATGCAGGTGTGGTGTAGTGAGGTCGAAAGCACCCCCATTACCTGGGGGAAGACAGGCCTCCGCTCACAGCAGGGGATGAGGGTGGAGTGGGTGAGGCCTCCTTGGCAGCCGGAGACATGGACGGCGGGGTTGAAGAGAGCACGCTGGAGCTGGACGGGGCTGCTGCATCGTCAGAGTCCCCTTGGGAGAGACATTTGGAGCAGAGGTGAGTCCCTCCCTGCTTCTCAGACTTGGGGGCCAGCACTGGGCACAGAGGTGGGTGCCCGGGGCCCTCCAGGGGCAGTGAGCAAGAATGTGCCACAGATGGGCCTGGGTGTAGAGGTCCCTTACCTGATGTGGTGGAGGACGGCTCCACGATGCCAACCTTGACAACCTAAAAAGACACACGGCTGGCTGGCTGTGTGGAGAGGCTGCGGCCCCTCCTCCAGGGAGCCGTCAAGGACAGGCCATGGCCCTGCCCACGAGTCGCTGGGTTGTGCAAACGGCCTCTAACTGAAAGGCCGGGTTCACGTCCACCTGGAGGTGTCACCAAAGAACAGCCTGGGCATCTACTTCTGAAGGCCAGGGGTCACAGCCCTACTCTGCCCCCGTGGGTTCCAAGAGCCAGCCCTGTTCTAAGCACCTGCCATGGTGGTTCTCACTGGGTGGAGGTGCTGACCAACCGGTTGTGGCTGCAGGCCAGTACCCAATCCACTGGCTGGCCTCTCAGAGCTGGGTTTCTGGGCCAGGATAGCTAAGCAATGGACCCCAAGACCCAGGATAGCTAAGCAATGGGCCCCAAGACCCAGGATAGCTAAGCAATGGGCCCCAACACCCAGGATAGCTAAGCAGTGGGCACTACAGCCAGAGGCAGCCCTATGCAAATAGGGTCTGTCCTGTCTCGACAGCTCCCACAACACACTGGGCTGGCCCTGCTCAACCATGAAGACGGCCAGCACGGCATGATGGAAGATCTAAAAACGTGGCTTCAGCTCAATCTGTGAAGAAAGTTCTGGGATAGAGGCCACTGACTCAGAAGGCAGCATGCAGGCGAGCTGCAGCACTGTCCGACAGGCAAAAAGCTGACGCTGCGCTAAAAGGCTCACCTGACCAAGGGGAGCTCACAACAACAAAGGGGTACTCACCCCGACAAAGGGGATGAACTTCTGGGAGGACTCTTCGTCAGGGCTAAAAGGAAGGAGACACACAGTGAGGGCTCTGGTGTGGCAGGTGCTGAGCAAGAGGCTGGCAGGCAGAATGTGGGCACTGCCTCCTGCACCTCTGCCAGGTGCGCCCCCCTGCCCACTCACCGCATGGTGGGCCCTGGCCTGCACCCACCATCCCTGGGAGAGACCAGGAGGGGTAAGGCCTACCTGCCCTATGGTCAGACCAGCTAGGGAGTGGCAGGGCACAGAAGGCACCAGCAGGGACTCGTTCTCCAGGCTAAGGTGCCACCTAGCAACAGTGCCCCCTGCTGCCCTCAGCTGGCCCTGCCAGGTGTAGGATCACAGCGTCCTCCTCAGCCCTGACCTTCCAGACAATATTCTGGGCCTTCTTCTTGACCGTGCCCCAATGAGGACACCTGTCTGCACTGGCCTGCACACCCTGCCTCGATGACCGTGCTGCAAGATGGGGAGAGGGGGGTCCCCAGCATGGGAGACTCCAGCTCTGAGGAGCCAGCAGGCCTAAGGTCCGGGATTCCTAGATTTGTGGGCCACCGTCCTGAAGCTGGGGTCACCCAGGCCTTTTACCTATAGTGTGAGCCCACCTTGGGCTGACACAGACTTGGTGCAGTGGTGGGAGGTGGTCATCTTGCCCTCACCTCTGCCTGAGCCTAGACGCACCTGGCCTCTGGTGCGTACCCACCCTGTTCCACGCTGGCAGCCAAGGCTAAGATTATCACAGCTGTCCACATTACACTGCGACCAGCTCTTGCCAGCCCCCAGAGCCGAGTCCGAGGGTCATAAGCTTTACATGGTGCTGGTCATGGCAGGGGCAGGCCATGAAGGGGTTACAGACAGCCTGTGTGGGCCCCAGTGTTCCCGTGGGGCTAACATTCAGCATCAGAGACTACTAGGCCCAAAGAGGATGCCCAGGAGAAGCAGCCAGTCTGGGAGAGGCCTGTCCCTGGGCACCTGAGTTAGTTAATTGTGCCAGCCTGGCCGATAATCACATGTGGTGCTGGTTGAAAGGCG